GTATTACATAATGAAACCCATATCTTCTCCCTGTCTAATAACATCAAATCTTTTTTTACCAATAACTAGAGAATGTATTACATAATGAAACCCATATCTTCTCCCTGTCTAATAACATCAAATATTTTTTTACCAATAACAACTAGAGAATGTATTACGTAATGTTCTTAAGTGTTAGATGTCCATACAAGCAATAAAACAATACTTGTGGTTGTTTGAGGTTTGAAATAGCAGGTCAGAATGTTTAGCATGGACTCATAGCTCAGCCTTCGGAACTCTGGGAAAATCGCATTGGCAATATTCATACTTATGAATTTAATCTGAGAAAGTACGATGGTATTTTTGGAGTAACTAGTGCCTTGGTAGACACGTGGGAAGAATAAGAATGTTGTAATTTAGAGCATTCTTACGAATATTTGTTTAAATATATATATATATATATAAAGTTATGAGAACTACTCTAAGATACGTTGCGCCATCTATTATGACTTGTATAAGTAAACATAATTTGTTCATGTTTAATTTTAAAAATAATATTGTGATCAAATGCAATCGGAGTTGTGAGGTATATTCAGTGTTAGATGGCATCAGACAAATTTTGATTTTATTTTATAATAATTATAACGTATTTGTGTTAGGCATTTTCCAGCATATTACATTATGTGAGTATTTATTTATTTTTTTAGGGATCCCTCCGGTTACGTTTACAAAACCACCTAAAATCACAGGGCCTTCCAAAGGTACGTGTATATTTTTACTAAATCCCTTTCTTTCACCGAAGGGCCCGACATGGCGCTCGATTCGCAATCTGAGAGTCGCGGGTTCGAATCCCCGTCCCACCAAACATGCTCGCCCTTTCAGCCGTGGGGGCGTTATAATGTGACGGTCAATCCCACTATTGAGTTGGCGGTGGGTGGTGATGAATAGATACCGTCCCTCTAGTCTTTCACTGCTAAATTAGGGACGGCTAGCCCTCGAGTAGTTTTGCGCGAAATTCCAACAAAACCAATCTCTTATAATCACACTCTAAAGCGCCCCCTATGAAGCGATTTCTCACCTTAATACTGAAGGTCGTGTTAGATTCTGAATGTTTATATTGTTTATAATATCAAAAAACTATCTGTTACGCTTATGATTTCAACATAAAAAAATATGTCTCTACCGGATTTGGAACCAGATGATCGATATTTCAGTTATGTAACCCAAGTGCATGAACTTCAAACTAATAAAATTGAAAATGTAAAGAAATTTAACTTGAGTATTTCTTTATTGATTTAAATTCAACATTCTTGAAATTTACGATAATTAGTTTGCTAAAGGAATTGTAGCTAAAAAAATAAATAATAAAAATATCAGCTCGTTGTCCTGTTAGTTCTGGCTGAAGTAATAGTTACTTCCGGTTCAAAATAGTTACAGGGCACAGCTGTAGGTGTCAGTTGTGTGAATTAAAATATCCCCGTGTGGTCAACTGACGACACAGAAATGTATACATGACCTCTTTGAAATAACACGTTTTTAGTTTCAGTGTTTATACACTAACGAACCCTTAAAAAAAAGGAAGGAATTGGATCTTGATATAAAGGTAGATTGTTTGTAAGGAATAACGTTAGTGTGTAGATAACTGTGCTTAGCTAATCCCCAGAACTGTAGTTTAGATGTTATTTGTATGGACATAATTATTTGGAAAAGTTGTGTTACGGATTTAAAACGTTTATATGTTCGAAAATTGATTTACAAAATACCGAAAAACTTCAATTTCACTTCTTTCTTTTTTTAAATCCAAAAAGCAAGACAAGAATGAGAACCTTATTTAAAATAATACATCCTGTTCAGATCCCGTCAATTCAGCATATTATCTTACAAGATATATCCACAAATTGTTTATATTATATCTTATTACAACTTACAGCTCTTACAGTCAGGAAGATTATTTTTTAGAACATGTACAACGTTTCGATCTCTGGTTCGAACATTTTCAAGTACACAAGAGAATGATCGCATCAGTGATCGAAACGTTGTACATGTTCTAAAAAAAAAATCTTCCTGACTATAAGTTGTAATAAGATATAATAGAATATAAACTCGGAAAGAAACTATATATGCCTGGGTACTGTTACCATAATATAAGTTTTATATATTAAATCCAATTTATTATTGTGAACGTGAAAATATTAATAAGCCTTTTTGTTTTTACTAATTTTACGGCCTAATTGATGACGTGGTGACTAGAGAGGGAACTTGATATAACTGCCTGAATTAATGAGGTCTAATGGGGAACTAAATGCACCATATGTTTGTTTGAAACATTATCAACAACTTCTAATGAAAGCGATGTACCAAAATAGGTCAGAACTAAAAATTAGCTCGGTAAATAGTGATTAGAATTCATCGGCATTTTCGGTCATAATCCCAATATCTCACGAGATTCAACTTGCTTAGGATATAGGCTAGTCCTTTATTCTTACATTAAACTTACAATTTAAAATCAACTTCGTGATGGAATAAAATGTACATACTAGATACATAAAGACTAGTTGTTTGCTTCGTTCCTGCCCTTTAACCAAAAGTTTTAAATATATTTAAATCTTGCAGAGAAGTCACAATGTGGAAAATGCAGGAAACGCAGCCGAAAAATAAACAGGAAGAAGTATTGTAAGAGAAATTATGGTAAGTAGGCATCGGCCAACTATCTAAGTATTTGATGTTTTTTGTATATACTGCTATAATGCTCATTAAACCTGATTTGCATTTTATACGCGCAGCCCAGACTCTTAGCTATGGGTTGTTTTTGGTGCTCACCAGAATTCAATACCAGTTCTTTTTTGCAATTGGAAAAGGATCAAGAGGTGTCGTTAAATTACAGAAAACTTGATACACAGTAAGGTTAGTTCGCGGCAAAGGTGAATACCAGGAGAATTTCACCACTTCTAGTATGGTGATTACCTGTACTTCTTTAAGGAGGATTTCACCACTTCTAGTATGGTGATTACCTGTACTTCTTTAAGGAGGATTTAATCACTTCTAGTATGGTGATTACCTGTACTTCTTTAAGGAGGATTTAATCCACCATACTAGAAGTGAAATCCTCCTTAAAGAAGTACAGGTAATGGTCACCATACTAGAAGTGGTACTCACCATACACACACAGGTAAAATAATTCTTAAGGTAGTAAAGGTACTCACCATACACAAACACAGGTAAAATCATTCTTAAGGTAGTACAGGTACTCACCATACAAACACAGATAAAACCTTTCTTAAGGTAGTAAAGGTACTCACCATACAAACACAGGTAATATCATTCTTAAGGTAGTAAAGGTACTCACCATACACAAACACAGGTAAAATCATTCTTAAGGTAGTAAAGGTACTCACCATACACAAACACAGGTAAAATCATTCTTAAGGTAGTAAAGGTACTCACCATACAAACACGGGTAAAATCATTCTTAAGGTAGTACAGGCATTCACCATACAAACACAGGTAAAATCATTCTTAAAGAAGTACAGGCACTTTTACTACCTTAAGAATGATTTTACCTGTGTGTGTGTATGGTGAGTACCTTTACTACCTTAAGAATGGTTTTACCTGTGTTTGTATGGTGAGTACCTGTACTACCTTAAGAATGATTTTACCTGTGTTTGTATGGTGAGTACCTGTACTACCTTAAGAATGATTTTACCTGTGTTTGTATGGTGAGTACCTTTACTATCTTAAGAATGATTTTACCTGTGTTTGTATGGTGAGTACCTGTACTACCTTAAGAAT